CAAAAAAAAAAAAAAAAAGAAAAAGTAGTAAAATGCTTATGTACCTGATTTCTGAAAATCGATTCGTGCTCGAGCATAGTCCTTCTCACTTTTTCGAGGTCACGTAACAAGTAACCATCTTTACGCATGAAATTCGAGCCAGTTTGTAACATGGAGTCATTATAACCGTGATATGTGGGCCCCACACTGTTGTTCGCGCTCCCGTTAAGATCGACCACCGAATGAAATTCGGGCAAAAATGCATTTGCTTGAACTTTAGTAGCCATTTCTGGAAACAAGGAGTATATACACTTTCAACCGAAACACTAATCAGACTTAGCTAACATAGAACAAGATAATGAGAACTAAAAAAAGTTACAATGTACCCACAAAACAACAACAATAATAACCAAGAATAATGTTTAAGCCACCAAAAGTTGTTATGATTATCAACAAAATTAAAGGAAATTATAATGATATTGAGCAATTATTAATTATATGAAGAAACAGGATTAAGCAACAACATCATAATTCAATACCACAAGAAGGGTCAGAGCACAGAAGTTATCACTTTGACAGAACAAGCCATCCCAAATATAAACAAATTTAAATACAGCAAGCAAAAAAAAAAAAATAATTAAAAAAAATAAATTAAAAATGAACCCTTCTGCAAAAAGTTAGACAATTACACAAACAAGGGAGAGATAAAAGTAAATTACAGAGAGATAACTTAGAAGCATAAGAATTGTAGAACAGAGGATTACCTCAAAACTCAGATTCTTTTCTTGACTTTTTCTGCAGCTTCATATACACAAAATCCAAATTAATAATCCACAAAGAAGCAAAAAATCTACCCTAAAAATAGAAAAAAAAAATGGAGAAGAAAAATCAAATCTTTTCACAAGCTGAAATTCACTGAGCTAATAGGATAAAAAATCCAAGAACCCCAGATAAGAAAGATTGAATCTTTGCATTGCCATTAGAGAGAACTTAAACACACACACACACACACACACACACACACACACACATACACACACACACACACAAAACAAAAATTTATCACCAAAAGCAAAAGAGAAATCCAAGATAAGAGATCCCTTTCTTGCAAACACAAACATGAACAAAGTGTTTTTTTCTTACATGAAAAAAGGATGACTTGGAATTTGTCTAACATGTGGACTCTCACCTTTGTTTCTCTGTTACTTACTTCTTCGTCTTCCTCTCTTGGCTTTGGAGTCGGTCAATCATTTCTTTCCTATTTTTCCATATAAAATAATATAATTATATACACTTGTTCTTCTTATTTTGATACGGATTTTCTTGGTTTTTAGGAGGTGAAAGGTCATGGACATTTATTGAATTTTTTATATTTTATTTTATTTTTTCTTCAGATTCCCTCAGTTGCCATGCTTTATGGGCTACACATAATTCTGCGCGTGTGGATACTGTCTGATACATAAAAATGTTTACTTGTAGTGCCAAATATTGTCATTCTTTAGATGAAATGAGCAGCTCGTGAGCTCGACTCGACTCATTTGATAAATGAGCCAGTTCATTAACGAGCCAGGCTTGGCGCATTTCGATAAGGCTAGAAAAGATAATTTTCATATTATTTTCTATAGTCCGACTAGTAAAAGCTCGAGATCGGCTTGAATTCGACTTGTTAATAGCTCGATTTTGGCTCATTAAGGACGCAAGTTTGAGCTCGGCTCATTTACATCACTACTTTGATTATATTTAATAAAACTAACTTATAAGCTAAGTTGATAGCTTTCAGTGAATTTCGAGCTTATAAATGACAACTAATGATTTATGACTAAAAAATGTAGCTTATGTGATAAAAATGTGATAAAATTAGCTAATAAGTTAACTGAAATAAACAAATAACAGGGTTATTTGAAAAACTACCCAAATAAACTTATGAAATAAACTCAAACTTCTTAAAATATTTGTACTACCATACCAAACTCATTTATATAGAAAAAAAAAAAATATATATGTTAATCTAATAAACTATAAGTTAAGTTTTTAATCAAACAAACTCTTAAAAGGTAGAAGAACAAAATTTTCTAAAAAATTTCCTTGGAACATCCAATCGAAATCATCTACATGCTCCCTGCTCACTGATTGTCTACGTGGCACACGACTAGGCACACGAGTCGAGCGGCTCGAGCACGAACTCAAGTCGAGTTCGATCTCATATTTTACATTGTCCAGCGGCTCGCGAGCAGCTCGTGATATATATTACTAAAATACTTTTGTATATATATATGTATCATAATATTAATACATACTTAATGGTAATTTTGCAAAGTTGCTTGAAAATTTTTGAATCGAACTCGAGCCAAGCTCAAGTTATCGAGCTCGACCTCGAGCATCTAAAAGAAAGATCAACCATGTTTGATGAGCCAATGCTCGGCTCGGATCAGCTCGTTTGCAGCCCTACGCACGACCGAAATCCACGCTCTACCGTAACATTGGACGATCGTGGCCAATGAATCTTCACATGCGTTTGGGCGCGTGAGGTTGTAGGATGTCCCGTAGATGGACCCTTACTTCTCATGGAATGGCTTTAACATGGGAGAACTAAAACGACCTAAGTGGATATTTTATTTATGATGACAGATAAAGCCTCAAAACTTATATTCGATTTCCCCTTTTTGCCCCTAGTTAGTTGTTGACAAATCTTGGTAGGTTGGTACAAAGAGAGGTGTTATTCACGCCAATAATAAATACAACAATTATTAAACTAGTTTATTCATGGTTAGAAATGGGATTTCCTACTCTACTTTCATATTTTATTTTATGTTAAACTTTATTGAATGAATGACACGTGTAAATAATGTCGTCATATTTGTACACGTGTCAATCATCCAACAAAATAAAATGTAAAATGGAGCACAGGATTGGAACACGAAATCTGAACCCTTCATTGGTTAGACTATAGTGTTAAAGACAATACGAGTTGATTACATAGTTGTCAAACTCGTCGGGACCGGTTGGACAAAAAAACGAAGACCTAGTTGATTGCGTCCTCTTACTTAAATCAACTGATCTGCTAAAGAACATGTCAAGAATCGATCAAAATAGGCTGGTCGGATTGATCTTTGATATATATAAACTATTAAATATGAGTAATAAGTGCATTTGCATGCATGTTCTAAAATTTAGGATATTTGGTTAATGATGTCTTATTTAGATAATTTATTGTCTTAATTTTTAAATACTATACATAATTTACAAATATTAATAGATGAATCTAGGTGAAATTAGTTCAACCATTAACCCGATGTAAACTTTTGAGAGGTTTATTGATTGCCAAGTATCATCGCTATTTATTTATATTTTTCAAATCGAACACAAACAATTTTATTTCATGATCAAACCCACGTTTAAGATTGAGATTTTCTTTAAATTGTTGTAATATTTAAAGTTTGAAAACTACTAATTAAGTAGATTTGGAAAGATGGAATTATTGAATATTACACATCTTTTAGGTATTCCAATTGTCAAAATGCTAATTAAAATCTTCATTTATAATCAATTAGGAAAAGATTTAAATCATAAATAAAATTAAAATGTGACCCACTTGAGCATGACTTCATAAATATCGAGTGCTTTTGGTAGGAAATAATAAAGCTTTCGGCACATCAGAGGACTCTTCAGATCCTCAACTAATTCTAAGTACCATCGTTTTCAAAATAATATCTAATTCCAAAATTTCCACAAAATTTCCAATTTTCACTTGAAAAAAAAATTAAAAAAAAATTACCTTTATTTAATAATTAAATAGTAATCCAACCTTAGAGATGTTAGAATGAAATAAGTTGTCGGTGAACTCGGCTACTTTATGAGTCGGCTCGTTGAACTCGTTAATATTGATAAATTGGTCGAACTCAAACTTAAGTTCGTTTAATTAACGACCCAAGTTTGGCTTTCTTGATAAAAGACTCAAGATCGAGCTCGGGTATCATGAGTTCTTGAGCTTGAAAAATAAAATTTCAAAATAGGAAATAGATCTTGTGAAACGATCATGAAATAGTTTTGACATAAATACTATTTTGCCAAAAAAAGCCACACATGATTTTCAGAAAAGCAGATTTTGTGTGGGAAAGAATAAGAAATCAACGGAGAACCCTAAAATAATCCGAAATATTGAGGAGAATAAAAAATCGATTTATAAATTTTTAACACATTTTTTCAGTCCGAGGAACGTAAACTAGCTTGCAATTTATTTGAAAATTAGCATGTAAGTTCTATTTACACAAAAAAAAAAAATCAAGTTTTGATCAAGGACCATTTTGAACTATTAATATAAGCCCAGACTTTGTACCGAAAAAAAAAAGTTAATTGTTATTTAAACCTTTATCTTTTTGTGTTTGGCAATTTAATCCAAATTTTTGGATAGTTACAATCAGTGTTCTAGAAGTCGTTAGGCGCCCGACCAGCGCCTAGCGCCTAGAGCGCCTAGTCGGGGTCTAGACGGCGCCTAGGCAGGGCCTAGAAATTATAATAAATATATTATTTTTTATTTATTTTTACAATTTTACTAATGAAATTATAACTTATAATTAATAAATCCATACACCTAAGTCCCAATAATATTATTAATATTATATTATAAAA